TGGGTGTTGATCTCTTTGAATTAAAATGTGTTTTGATGCGCTTGTTGTTTATAGCTGCTATTTTATAGCTTTGTTTATTTTAGTTTCGCATCTGATAAGTTTTATTTCGATAACATTTGGTGTGTATGTTACTAATGTAAGTACTCTATGTGTTGTTGTAAGTAGAGTTCATACTGTTTGTGTTCTTATGTTTATTCAATATGATCCCAAGATATGCGTTATGATATGTGACAACGTATCGCACGGTCTTAATTTGTTACATATTCTCATATATCAACCGCATAGAACTTGAGTGACATTCTTAGCTCTGGCCGTTGTGACACAGTGGTAAAATTCTTAGCTCTGGCCGTGGTGAGACAGTGGTGACATTCTTAGCTCTGGCCGTGGTGAGACAGTGGTGACATTCTTAGCTCTGGCCGTGGTGAGACAGTGGTAACATTCTTAGCTCTGGTCGTGGTGAGACAGTGGTGACATTCTTAGCTCTGGCCGTGGTGAGACAGTGGTGACATTCTTAGCTCTGGCCGTGGTGAGACAGTGGTAACATTCTTAGCTCTGGTCGTGGTGAGACAGTGGTGACATTCTTAGCTCTGGCCGTGGTGAGACAGTAGTAACATTCTTAGCTCTGGCCGTGGTGAGACAGTGGTGACATTCTTAGCTCTGGCCGTGGTGAGACCGTGGTGATATTCTTAGCTTTGGCCGTGGTGAGACAGTGGTGACATTCTTAGCTCTGGCCGTGGTGAGACAGTGGTGACATTCTGAGCTCTGGCCGTGGTGAGACCGTGGTGACATTCTTAGCTCTGGCCGTGGTGAGACAGTGGTGACATTCTTAGCTTTGGCCGTGGTGAGACAGTGGTGACATTCTTAGCTCTGGCCGTAGTGAGACAGTGGTGACATTCTTAGCTCTGGCCGTGGTGAGACAGTGGTGACATTCCTAGCTCTGGCCATGGTGAGACAGTGGTGACATTCTTAGCTTTGGCCGTAGTGAGACAGTGGCGACATTCTTAGCTTTGGCCGTGGTGAGACAATGGTGACATTTCTAACGTTTCTAATGGTGACGTGGCTGGTGACACTGTCCGTATTTTAGTTTAACATCTCAAGTTTTTAAACAAATCTATGCCAGCATCAAGTTAGTCTAGCACAGTTAGCCCTGAAATTCCGCATACCGCAATACATTTTTTTTAGTATAGCAAATCCTAGACAATTCTTAGTTTGTCAATATATATATATATATATATATATATATATATATATATATATATATATATATATATATATATATATATATATATATACATATATATATATATATATATATATATATATATATATATATACATATATTTATATATATATATTATATATAAAAAATCACATACATATGTAAGTCTGTGTATACGCATGTGTAATATGTATTTTGGTGTTTTTTTTATAGGAAATGAGTTACGTAGCGACGAAATACTTTTTACAACGTTTAAATCCACTAGTAGCTATTTATCTCATATGAGCATACTGAATTTGTAATCCTATTATTATATTTTAACGTTTTCCATTGTAAAAAAAAATACATCATTTAATGATCAAACTGATTAAAAATTTAGCTTACGAGACGACGTGTGACAATGTGGCAAGCCAACCAGTTCCTTCCCCCATACACTTACACACACACACACACACACACACACACACACGTAAGCTATTGTAATAATAATTTGCTTTATCGAATGATATTTAGATTTGAAAATTTCCATTGTGGTGCCACCCCACTTTTTTTTCGATGGACTATGCTATGTAATGTTATGCATTGTCTATCACACTGTTTGAAATGAAAGTAGGTGTTATAGCGCTCACGTGATAGCCCGGGACGCCACATTGCACCCTGTTCGGTGCCAGCAAACACGCCTGATACACTTTAGTGAATAGAAAGAACGTAGGCGCCTTTGCGCTCACAGGAAAGCCCCGGGCGCCAAATAAAACCCTGCAGAGCGTCGACAGACGCCCCTGACTCAATATAGTCAGCGATTATAATTGCTTAACTTGTATTTAGTGTAGGCGTATAGTCTTTATTTATACGAACGTAGGCGCCATAGTGCTTACTTGAGAGCAACGGGCGCTTCTGGTCTCGCAATATCCGGGGGCGGGCGGCTGCGCCTTTTGAAGGTTTAACGCTGACTATAGTAGTACTCTTTATCCGCGTTGCAGGGCGCCAGATTAACAAATACCAAGTGCTTAGATAGTCGCTCTGGATCTCTGGGCACCGTGTATTGACAAAAATCGCATTCCTGAATGCCGCTCATTAGAAGTCTCAATTATTTTAATTATAGCATCCTTATCGACAGTATTATCATCAACTCCCCAAAGTTTCACAGCACTCGGATGTCGAACCGCATTAGACTTTTGTTTACTTATATATCGTATACAGAGAAAATCAGATCCTACCGGGGAGCCGCCCTTGCAAAATTCTAAATGATTCTAATGCAAAAAACCTCCACTCTAGTGTTCTAATCAACTCCCCTAAAGTTTGATGTCGATCGTATGAGCGGTGTCAAACCGCAATCGACTGTTTTTTGTATCCTGTATATAGAGGGGGATCGATTTGCGTCCTGCAGGGACGCCACTCTGCGAATTTGAATTTTTTTTTATCGCTCATACCTCCTGCGGACACCGCAGATTACTCAAAATAAAACAGAAAAGAAAGAATTAGATCTTTAATCTTAGTTAGATCAAGTTATAGGCTTTTAAAAAACCAAAAGTAGAATAAGTATCACTTTTGGTATCCGGAAATTGCTGAAAAGTGATTCAGAACTACACATTTGATATAATTCATATACATGAAATTTCAGCAACCTAGCTGTAACGGTACTCAAGTTATTGTGTTCACAGACATAGACACACACGCACACACGCAAACACGCAGACACGAACACATGCGCACACACGCCCACGCACACACGCACATATATAATAATAATTTTAAAAACAAACGATGCCTATTCTTCTATATTTCTAATACTATAAAAAGAAAAAAGAAACTATCAAACGTACCTTACTAAGTTACCTTTAATATAAATCTTGCCCAATACAACTTTAAAAAAAAAGTTTTCTTTTCAAACCTGACGGTCTATAGGGCAAGCGAGATAGAGTTTCCTTGTTTCTATAACCTCGGCATATAAAGAGATAGTGTGGTCAGCACTATGCCCAGCCGCCTTTACTTTTTCTAACGTGAGTTAAGTTGAGATGGGTGGACTCAGGGACGGTAGACTGACTTGAACCCGGAGTCAAACTCGAGACTTACGGGTTAACAGTCGAGCTCTCTACTGCTAAACCACCTGGTCTCACATTACAACTTAATTAAGTGTTTTAAAAAAATGAAAACTAACACAGAGTTCTCTGTTAATATCACTATATATTGCGTAAATGTAGGTGTGCGGGTGCGTCTTTTATTCATTACTACACCTTTTATCCTAACGCAACTAAACTTTGGGAATTTGTTGAGAGAACGCGTTTAAAAAAATAACGAGCCAACATTTTTAAAAACTTTTTCTATACAGTTCCTAACAGTAATATCGGACGTGATTACCTCTAATTTAATTAAATATTACTTGTCAACATGGTATGCGACATGAGACATGTTGACACTGATTTTAGCATTTTTTTCTTTTCTGAATTTTCTTCCATGGTCTCTGTTCATACAAAAACAATCTATAAGACAACAGTTGCATTGTTTTGGGAATTTCTCTCCCAAGTGCGTAGCAGTTCCCAACAATCGAGCCTCACCAGCACGGTAACTTGCCCTGGAGACATTTTTTTGGTTGCTCCACAAGCCCCCCCCCCCCCCCCCCCCCCAAAAAAAATAATCAACTTGTTTATTTGCCGTTGCCTATTTACCCTAGCCTAAGACGATCTTGACCCATTGACGCACGTAAATACGACAACATACGTTTCAATTTGATGAACGACAGCTCGCAGCTTGCAATTGGAAATGCTATTGTTAATAAAAGTTGCAGTGAAATTCCCAAATTCGGAAATAAGTCGTTTCCATAAATGAATTTCTGGTTGAACTTCATTCCCGTTTCTGAGCGGCATTCAGCAATCTCTAATTTCGGTGAAAAGTTCGTGACCATTGATGTCCGTGTCGTAGAAATTTTAAAAATCTGTGCAATTACGACAAATTTCATTGATATCTGTGTTAGATAGAACAGTCCTAACATCTAGCAGAAACCCAAATTTTTTTCCAGGTCTTTTAGTCGTAAAAATTGTGTTGACATCTCCTTTGTCTATGAAATATGCCTTTCATAACGCGCGCAATTTTTTCTTCTGATGAAAGTTCAGTATCTTTTACAAGTTTTCCAGGCATCTTCCGACGACTTTAAGTTCTTCTGTCCATCAAAATCCCACAGGCTGTACGTTTTGTTTTGGCGTTTTACAGCATCTCGGGTTAAATCATTACGACGCCTGATACATTCTTGCTCCAAAGATTGAATATTAGTTACTGCTTCCTTGAAAATTATAGTAGGATCCCGTAAGTGCTTCTGTACACGATCGATTTTCCAAGAATGACATTCCATTACTTACTGTGTCGCTACCTGATCAGTAAAAGAGTCTGGGTGGAAGGCAATACTCTTTGGCCGAAATTTTAAGAGCAAAGAAAAATGTAATAAGGCTTTCCATATTTATTATTAAGTCATTTGCGGACTGACACGCACACACACACACACACACACACATTATATATATATATATATATATATATATATATATATATATATATATATATATATATATATACAGAGAGAGAGAGACAGAATTACATGAAAATTTATTGTTTTTGCTATCAACTTCGAAAAAAATTAACAATTTGATTAGCAGTATATAAGTGTTTTTAATGCCATACAATTTTTAGGCAAAATGATGTATGTGATATGCGAGTATATCTTTATCTCGTTAATTTTGCTTACACGACCATCACAATAGTGTTTTACAATAAAAATTAAAAATTAGAAAATTAAATATAATAAACGCATTATGATACAATATTAATTTAAATAAATCGAAAGGTAGGCTAAAAAATGCATATTAAGATTGAATTGACTCCATAATAAGAAGAATGAGAAGGGAATATTGCCTCACAAACTTGCAGGAAACGTTATCGTCAAATATTCTTAAAGGACGTTTTTAATTGCATCTTCATAATATTTATTGTGTTGTTCATCCTGAAATAAAAGAAATTCAGTCTCAACTTTAACACAATATAGATGATATAAAATAAGGCAATGTGATTGTATTATAAAAACATTGAAATGGGTGCGTTTTTTTAAACTATGCTCCTTTGCTACTACAACTAAGCAAATTACTACCATCATTAAATCCAAATTACAATTTTATAGCCACACATATTGTACAATTACAATTACACTTACCATAGGAAAAATTGGTTTAGGATAGGCCGATCCACTTTCACGCAATGCTTTTAAATAGGAGAATGGATTCTGGTTCTAAAATAACATTTTAAGTAAATTATATACTTCATTTAATATGTATTAATGAAGTCAATAATTTATTAGCGTATTAATTTTTAAACTATATGTCATAAATAAACGTTCAGAAGAATATGTGTTTGAAAGATCCGTGTTTACCCTTTTTGAAAAAACCTGTCCTCCATATCTTTCAAAAGTAAAAAATCTTGCGAATTTGGATTTAGCCAAGACACTTGCGAAATATCCATCTATCTTTGTAGGAACATCTGTCTGGAAAAATAATATGTTCCATTGATTTATAATTTAGTTTTTATCGCAATATGTTTGTTTTGATAGCATCGTTGATTTCGTTGATTCAAAATATTTCAAACTTTAAAATCGTATGCAACTACAAACAGAAGATAATTAAAATACCTTGAATATCATATTGACATCCCATTTTAAAAAGTCCCGGCTTCTTTCATATTTCCCATTGTAGGACACTATGGCTCCTTGTCCAGTCATTTCAGGGACTAGCTTAATGAGTCTGTACACAGCGCACACATAGTTAACTCCCCCTGTATTTTTGATATTATGCTTACATTTACAATCAAAATTTCGTAGCTTTTTACCCTTAAAATTAAACGTTTCTACTCACTATTTCTACAGACATTAGATAACATCGAATTTTATTTTCGCATGCATTTCCATATTAGCCCAGCAATTAAATTCAGTAACATAAATATTAGTTATGTCTGATTAACTGTTATCGTTATACAGTTGTTCATATAGAAATAATAAAACCTAACAAAAGTAAATAGATGGGCGTCACCCACTTAGATCCCGCTTGTTTTTCTCGGTGCCAAATTGGAAGGTGTCAGCGGCGTACAGGAGGTAAGGATCAGCAAACCCATACTGTCCTGTTAACTCTTTCAGCTCTGACCACACGATGGCGCCGCTGACTCCATAGCCTGAGATAGGAACGTACAAGTTCATGACAAATATAATTTCATTTTCTAAAAAGGTTACACCAATATTTTATATATTATTTTTTTAGTAGAATTGAGAAATGTGTATTAAAACGTACACATTTACAAAGCAAGGTTATGCCTAACCTCCGAATTTAAACTAGCGGCGATTAGTGGCTGGAATCTGTGACTGAATGACATCGTTTCCCACCCCTCCCACCCTTTATAAACTCTTTTAACTCCAAATTATTTCCTCTTCTTAGACCCGAACTTTCCCCTACTCCTTATGGGTCATTCAGTATACGACGTTCAAGTAATACCGACGAAATAAACGTGCATATATATATATATATATATATATATATATATATATATATATATATATATATATATATATATATATATATATATATATATATATATTCAAACGTGTAAACAATTGGTGTGTTTTAGTAGTAGTCAATAACATGTAAGCCCTCGGGCAGATGAGGTTCGTTAGCTGGGGACAGCCACTCTTCTAGGAGAGACAACCCCAAAAATGAAACAACTGCTGCCATGTAGCGTTGTTCCCATTGGAGCAAATCCAAATAGAAAAGCAAGCTGAAATCGGAGTCAATGGCCTCAATTGCGTATAACCAATTCACACTTATACAACACTAAAATTAAGAACGAAGAAGAAGAAAAAATGTAGACTACTTACAACAGAAAAGCGGATTAGCTTTGACCTCTTCACACTGCTTAGAATCAGAGAAGATATCACTGTTGTAGAACTCCCCACCTTCCTATAAACAATTTTACTCATCGTGTATGACACTAACTTGATTGAAAATAATGCTAAATGTAATTATTTTAGACATCTTAGAATTTTAAAAAAATTAGAGTTACCTTCAATAAACGGGATATAATCTGAATTACTTTTTCCTTGTTGTGAACCAAACACAAGAGTCCATTCGAACTGTAGATGAAAATAAATACACATCTTATACTACTTAAAAAATTTAATTCTCACAATGACCCCCCAACCATCTCAAACTTTCCAGCTTATAACTTATTTTCGCCAATATCGTAAACTTCCATGCTATACAAATTAAAATGCATGATGTCGTTCATTGAAGACTTTTACAGAATAATGTATTTGTGCCTGCAATATTCACTTACACGATCACATCAAACGGCTCAAGTTGAAGTTCCAATAACTTCTCGACATCCGAGCATATAAACTCACAGTTGGGTGTACTGTAGCCCCATTCTTTCATGTGGTAAGCTGTCTCTTCTTGGCACAGTTGGATCTGTACATTAGTTATTAAAATGTGTACCATGTATAATAACATATTTACTAAACACAATATCCCATCAATTATATATTAGATGGAATTCCGTAGTTATACTATTTTAATCTTTATCTTCTTTAAAAAAAAACACTCGAGTTTCATCTCTTTACGAGTCGTTCTAAAAACTAAACAGTGCAGTGTAGGTGCAGTTGCAGGTGCAGCTGCAGGTGTAACTGTAGCTGTGGGTTGCAGTCACGAGTGCGTGTACGTACAATTCTACGTAAAGCATGCCTGTGCGTGCATGTAGGAGTCTGCGTGTACGTAGAAGTGTATGTCTGCTTGTGCGGTTGCACGAACATCAAAGTTTACAAAAATGTGTTTGTGTGTGCTGTTTGTATTTATGTCACTGTCTTGCATGTGCTACTTCGTGATTGTGTGCGTTTGCTTAAAAAAGCTATAGCATAAAACACATTACGAAGTCTTTAGAAAAATCAACTCCAACGACGTATCCAGCTGGACCAACAAGCTTGGACAAAACAAAAGACAGACTTCCACCTCCACAGCCAATGTCCAGCACACGGGCGCCCTCGATGGCATCGGGGATGTAAATAGCTGAACCATCGTAGCTGGAGTAAAAAAACAAGTCTTCATGATTTTTATGAAAATGGCATAATTTAGCGTAATTGCTTCCAAAGTTTTATTCGTCTCTGTCTTGATTAGGGAAACACTTTTAGTATCTAGAACTCAAAACCGCTTTGGTGCTAAAGCCATAATTATTTCGATCAACTGACTTAACATTTCCGTGAGTTATCCTTACGTTTTCCTGGAGCGCTGGCTGATCTTTGACAGGATCTCAGAAGCGTAGGAAGGTACAGCCTCTGTATTCAGTCTGGTGTCCAATGTCATGTTTTCTATCAACGTCTTGTACATCTGCTGCACTATTTGCTGAGACTTTTCCTCATTCATTTTGTCTGAAACTATATATATATATATATATATATATATATATATATATATATATATATATATATATATATATATATATATATATATACATATGTGTGTGTGTGTGTGTGTGTGCGTGTTGTGAACACGGACACGTCTTTACGGGTGATCCAGTGTGTCACGCATCATACAAGACGAAACAACCATCGTTTCATAGCCATCCCGTCGTAGGTTGGAGTGGGCTTCATTTCCTATTATAACTTTATCATCTCTAATTCTAATGTTTTAGAACAGTTTTAGAAAACAAGGTTACATGCTTTAGGAATGGCGTATAACTGCATTGACGCATCTTTATCATTAAGAGCGAGAGAAATGTTGCCATTCCATCTCCTTTATGAGCTTTACGAGAGAGCTATCTTTCCCCTCTCTTCTCCTCAGTGACTTAAATGACTTTCAACTTAGCCGCTGTACACAATAACGAGAATAGACCTAACGATGTGTAGACAGATGGACACTCACAAAATCAAACAGATTAGTTCAAATCACGGACAACTATTAGTTGTGAACACGTGCATGTCTTTACCCTGTGATCCAGTTCTTTAAGCAACATATAGATTTTCTACGACGAAACAACCACAAACGGGTTACAAAACACCTGACTAAATGAAACAACGGCTGATTAAATTAAAAGAATGTAATACTATATACAAAATCTACACTAACACAGTCTATTTCTAAACAGTAAATGCATACGCCAAAAAAAAAAAGATGCATTGGCTAAATAATAGTACAGAACGAACTTACACTAGCCTTGGTCGATATCTGGACTTAAAACTGAGGCCATAACACACGTTTTTACACACCGTATAACACGTTTTTACACACCGTATATACCCTAACAGAACACAGGTACAAAACAGTTGTCACAAGTCATAGCACGAGAACTAAAAAGGGACGAACGGAAAAGGGTACAAAAAGAAAAGGTAATAAGGCATAAACGGCATTTACCCCCATTCATCCCCATTTACGCATTCACTTCATATATAAGCGCACTCTTTTTTATTACTTCTGTAAATACTTTCGTTTCTATTTCCGCAAATATATTTTGTTTTTGCACGCACTTAATTTATAAAGTGTCCAATAATTTGTTAAAAGTGTTTGCGCCATTTTTCTTGTAACTGCTTTAAATGCGGAAACGAAAATTACATGTTTTAATACTTGCTTAAAATACATCAGTGAAGCTACAGTTTATTTTGCATTGTGCATTTAAATTCGGTATAATTATTCTTAGAACATCTGATGCGTACTAAACAATAAACAAGTAATTGCAGCTGGCAATAAGACCACTTATGTTAAGTACACAGCTTCTGCAGTCAGGCGGAAAATATATGCAATGAGAACATGCCAAAATGTCAACAGTTGTGTGAAAATCAATACTTAGCTTGGCCCAGTCTGTCTGTCTGTCTGTCTGTCTGTCTGTCTGTCTGTCTGTCTGTCTGTCTGTCTGTCTGTCTGTCTGTCTGTCTGTCTGTCTGTCTGTCTGTCTGTCTGTCTGTCTGTCTGTCTGTCTGTCTGTCTGTCTGTCTGTCTGTCTGTCTGTCTGTCTGTCTGTCTGTCTGTCTGTCTGTCTGTCTGTCTGTCTGTCTGTCTGTCTGTCTGTCTGTCTGTCTGTCTGTCTGTCTGTCTGTCTGTCTGTCTGTCTGTCTGTCTGTCTGTCTGTCTGTCTGTCTGTCTGTCTGTCTGTCTGTCTGTCTGTCTGTCTGTCTGTCTGTCTGTCTGTCTGTCTGTCTGTCTGTCTGTCTGTCTGTCTGTCTGTCTGGTCTGTCTGTCTGTCTGTCTGTCTGTCTGTCTGTCTGTCTGTCTGTCTGTCTGTCTGTCTGTGTGTCTGTCTGTCTGTCTGTCTGTCTGTCTGTCTGTCTGTCTGTCTGTCTGTCTGTCTGTCTGTCTGTCTGTCTGTCTGTCTGTCTGTCTGTCTGTCTGTCTGTCTGTCTGTCTGTCTGTCTGTCTGTCTGTCTGTCTGTCTGTCTGTCTGTCTGTCTGTCTGTCTGTCTGTCTGTCTGTCTGTCTGTCTGTCTGTCTGTCTGTCTGTCTGTCTGTCTGTCTGTCTGTCTGTCTGTCTGTCTGTCTGTCTGTCTGTCTGTCTGTCTGTCTGTCTGTCTGTCTGTCTGTCTGTCTGTCTGTCTGTCTGTCTGGTCTGTCTGTCTGTCTGTCTGTCTGTCTGTCTGTCTGTCTGTCTGTCTGTCTGTCTGTCTGTCTGTCTGTCTGTCTGTCTGTCTGTCTGTCTGTCTGTCTGTCTGTTAAATTTACTCTACTGTCAGTTTTCTGAAAATGCTTAAACTTGAATACCGTTTCAGTTAGGTACACGAAATTTTATACATAAATAAAACATAAATAAAACCATAAAATGCTAAGTTCCCCCTTTCCTCAACTTCCAAAAAATAATTGTTAGAAAGATACCTGCCCGGGTGTTATTTCAGCGGAAGATCGGAGAAACGAAGTCGAATTGTAGCTTATTTTGTCATTGTCTCCGATAGTTCATTTGTTCTATGGTAAAAAGAAGGGCAACCTCTACGACTAAGCCGATGGCTAAAAACTACTCGCGAATGACAATTTTACTATACAAGTCTAGACATATTAAGAAAGACAAGATATGATACCCAGAGTTACTTCAAGGCATGTCAACAGCCCCCGAGCGAAATTGAATTCATAAAAAAAAACTTTTACCAGTGTCCTCCTCCCTGCCCCTCTCCCCCCCCTCCCCCCCCCCCCCGCAAAATTTAGTCCCACGCCCCCCCCCCCCCCCCCCAAAAAAAATATCAAGTGCTTCCCCCGGAGAAAATTTAAAAAAGTCTGAAAAAAACCCACTGATGATACTGAACGAAACGTGCTCCTTTTGGAAATTCCTGGCAGCTTTTACAACTGAACAAAAATTGTATTTTTCATTATAATTTAAGCGCATTTTCGAAAAGCAAGGAATGCAAATTTTCAAATACATAAGTTAATACTAGCTGAAATGCACTTAAACTATGTTGGAAGCATCAATCGCACAAAAAACTCTTTTTTAAGATATACTAAAATAGAAACAGAATGATTTTAGCTTACTTGATGCAGGTTTGAGCTTCAGAGAACTGCAACCGTGTGCGTGTATTTTTTTCAAAAAGAAAACTTCTGTGTATGCACTTGGGTAATGCTGGAACGATTAGGTGTTCTAAAAAATCGAGGCTTTTATTTTGGCCAAATTGTAAAATAAGCCACGTGTCTGCGCACGTGACTAAGTAATCAAAGAGACAGATGTTCTCCTGAAGTAATTATGTAAAGTAAGCTTAGCCATTTTTACAGGGACAACGAGACTAGAAAATGATAATGACGGCCCTTGTTTAGTTCTTAATCAAACAAATTATATTCAAGTCGACTGTTTAAACATGTGTTGACGTCAAATACAAAATTACAGCAGGAGACATTGAAAGACTTTTACATAAAACAGTATTGTGTTTCTCTACATAAGTCTCATGATAATAGTCATTTTTCTTAAGTTCGTTGCAATTGCTAAGACGTATCTGTTTTTTCTGTTACCTCATTCACGGTCGGTTGTAAGGATCAGAGTTTCTTCCAGGCATCTCTTCGGGGGGGCAAAGCCCCCCCGAAAATTTTTTACCGCCCCCCCCCGAACGAAATGAAATTTATATAATTTATATAGAAAATATATACTTTTAACAGTGTCCGCCCCCCCGAAGAAAGTTTACCGCCCCCCCGAAGATTTCAA